TAACTTGAGAATCCCTAGCTCGAAGAATTATCTTGTCAGAATGAAATTAAAATAAAGAGATGTATATTCAAAATATTAAAATCATTAAAATATCTTGTATGCAAATTTTAATGTCACATATGGTACGGGAGAGAAAGATAAGTTACGTGATCGGCAAATAATTGTTAGCCAAGTCTGTTGGAATAATTTTCTGAGCAAGGTTATAAAAAAAAAAATAGATTACAATTTGCCATTTGGAAAAAAAAAATTATATCAAATACTAGCATATTCTAATTCATATTTAAACAACAATCGCTCCAACGAAGCGACTCGATGTAGAAGAAAGACTTAAAATAGCTCTCATAAAAATATGAAGCCTGTTTCAAATGCAACTTCTTGTTTCGTAAATGATGTAACTATGAATTTTAAAGCACCTCGAACCTCTCGATCGCCGTGTTAATATCTCGTGAATTAAGCGACGAGAATGAAGAATCTCTCCTCAAAGAGGAGATATATATTTCGCAAAGAGAGTAGCGTCTCCGGAAACGAAACTTGCCGTTAGAGAGTTAAGAGAGAGAGAGACTAAACTTAGCGCTCGAGTTTTGAAGTTACGTAAGATAACGTCCAGTAACCCGACAGCGTAAAATTAGCTGTTCTCGCTTTCGTATGTCTAGGCGATAGTCGCATCATTGTTGTTATTTTACGATGTAATTTATCTTCTCGGCGAAAAAAAATCTATATTTCAAAAACTTTCCTTTTCGTCCTCTTTTCTTTCTCCTTTCATATATTGAACTATTCACTTTTATTACTGTGCAAATAAAAAAGCACGACGGATAAATTTTTAGTTGGATGAAACAAGGATCAGATTTAAGACTATGGCATCCAAAAAAAATTTAAGCAATAAGACGAGTAGTAAGAAAATTAATTTAGGGATCCCTCCCTCCCTCCCTCTCTCTCTCTCTCCTGCTTATATTATTGTTTTACATTCTCTGCTGTGATTGACCGATTCGTTTACTGTTTACGTCTTATTACCTTGTATTCTTGATAGTAATACTTTCAAAAATAATAAATAAATTATATATACAAGTTAAAACTGCCACTTTGAATTTAAAATATCATTGTTTATCTAGGAACGCATATATTTGACCTAATGTCAATTTAAGAAACTTAAAAAAATTTCATTACCCCATTATTTACAAGTCAAAAAAGTAAAGTATTGCATAATTTCGAAAATTAGGATACGATCGAAACACCATGATCAAGATTGACCTGTGAATGATCAACGAAGTGCATTGCATATGGATTTGGCTAGGTATGTAATCGCCGTATTCAATGCAAAGTATGCTAACAACGTCACACAGATGTCACGAAGGTGAACATTTATACGATATTCCGCTTACAAACATGTAGGTTTAAACGATGCACTATTAAATATCGAAGAAATAACGGCGACTAATCCCGAATAATCTTGTTATTTTTAACTTCTATGTGTCACTCTCTGTGTCGCAATATAAATCAATCCATTTCTACGTAGTTAGTTTCAAAGTGAAGTTTATATTAATGTATGCATTTAGCAAATAATAAATTAAATTCGGATCATTTAATACATTTTCTCGAGTTAAATTATTTAATTCTATTATTTTAGTTAAACTAACGACATACATTGAGTAGAAGGCGACCTATAAAAATAATTAAAAATAACTCACTCAAACTCACTTGTGGGTAATTTGAGATTATGAATTTAACAGTTCGTTTAACTTTTATAGTAGTATTATAATATTATACTATTTATATTGGTATTTTTTAATCTGATGCATCTGACGTTACTTTATTCAAAAATATCTGCGATCAAAACTACATAAAATTTAACACTTTTGTTTGGACAAATAAATTCGTTGCAGATTCGATTTTTTTAAATTTTTTTAAATCTTAAACATCCACGGCGAAACGCGCTTTGACATACAATCTCGCGTTTCCCGGTCAAATTCGACGAGCACGTGGTGAACGACGATATTGGGGTTCACACGGCTTCAGCACGGAAACCCTCCCACCACTTTCGGACACCACGTACCGACATGAGCGTAGAGCCGACAGAATGGCAAGAAAACACGCGATATTAACGCCGAATAACCAAACTAGACGAATGTTTGAACAATGCTTATCTAAATTTCATCGATATTTATCGTTACAATAAACGTTTATAAACTTTTACGAAATAGATTTTATGCCATTTTAATGTTACAATGAATCATTGTTGGGTTGATCTTGTGACTTATGGTGAAATAATTGAGTTCCTAGTCGAACGAATGATCAGGCTTCCAACAATTATACCTCTAATCTTTATTAAGTAGCATCTACAATGAGATTTTAAGGTGTAAACTTTGAACAAGAAATTGGTCAATCACAATCGATTGTAATTGGTTAATTTCTTACGGATTAAATCAAAGTTTTTACCTGAAAATTACATTGACGCCTCTATAGGTGTGGCAAAATTATTCGAAGGAGGGATTGGTGGAACTCTTTTGGAGGGAAATCTCCATTTTCTCTAAATCTATGGCTTTACTATGGCTAAACTAGCTTTAGGATTATCAAACTGCAGGGACATGGGTTAAAAAGTAATGTTTTACAAGATAAAGTTACATATAACAAGGTTAAATCAATCCTTCCACCGTTGCTCATAATGAAATGCGACTCGATCGTACGATTCTACATTGTCGTAATGCATAATTGTAGGTAATGGTAGATAATGGTAGATAAGTACAGGCTTAATTAATGTCTTAATTTTCCTTTATTAGCACACAAGCAAGAATTAGAAATCAGTTATTTTAATTTAGGACAAATACATTAAATAATTTCATTTATATATTTATAAAATTAATTTAATTTAATTAAAAATACAAATAGAAAAATTCTTATTAATTATAGGCAGAATATTAGGTATGCGTGTGATCTTCTTTTTAATAAAAAAAAAGTTCAAAATCAAATCGCATGCTCAAGAATCGTACTTTAAAAATATTTAGGATAAGTACTCGTAGCTCAGACGGAAAATCGTCCTCTTTCAGGTCAAGTCCATTCATGGAAACCAGTTCGAATCCGGTGGCAGTCCCTCTACCACCGAACTTTTTTTCCAAAACGTTAAAATTGAATTTTTTTTTTAGAGAATGAATAAATTTTTTTTAGAGAATGAATAAATTTTTTTAGACAATATATAAATTTGTTATAAAAGTTTGAAAAAATTAATAAGTTATTTAAAAGTTAATTAAAATCAGTTATACTTAAGATCATTAAAGAAGATCATTAAGAACTTAATAAACACAAGAGTAGACTCAAGAGTCGTTTTTGTAAGGGAGAGTGGCCTACAATAAAATCATGTTCTAAATAGGATCTTTTTAATTTAAATAAACACGGTTAAGCAGATTTCCATACTATTTATAATGTAAAGTTCTTATAAGACATCGAAAATTTTTTTTTAAAAGAAAATCGTTGTAAAACATTATTCAAAAAATGTGATAAATTAGAAAGATAATTAATTTAAAATAATTAAAGAGTGTAGAATTCAAGCATTTTCAAAAATATCAAGTTTTGTGATCATTTTTTTTATTGTAAAATTTTCAAGAAATTAAATCAGTAAAATATCATTAATCATCAGACTTAGATCAATTAAGTTTTATTGATTTCAATTCTAATAATATTAACTATCAGTAAATTTTTTCTAAATAAAATTTTTATCTTGATTGTCAAATTGCTCGTTTTTATTCAATACTAACAAAGATACTTAAAATATTTTAAAATTCTATCTAAAAGTCTAATAAAAATAGGATCAATGATTCCAAATCAGGCCGGAAAAAGCATTTTCCATTTTAGTTTAACACACAGAGAGATATACTAATTTAATTTTAAATATAAAAGTGAAATGCAAATATTTCGAATTATAAGATACATATTTTAGCTAATAGTACAATAAAATGTATTAAGTACTCGTATTTCAGGATTTAATCGATTTCTATGACAAACAAATTTATTCAAATCTATCTTCTAAAAATATTCAATTTTAATATTCTGAAAGAAAAAGATTTGTCAATAAAATTCAAACCGGATTTAAACCAAACGGAAAAGTGACGATATTTTACCTCAGCTATGGTGCATATAACAAATAGTGATAATAAAATATTAAGTTTCAATTGCTTTTATTATAAATTTCACTTTTAATAGATTAAACTTGTTTATTAACAAATACGGTGTAAAAAAATAAAATTTTCCACTTTTATATTTTTTACTTATTATTTTGTAAAAAAATATAATTTTAATATTTTATTTAAAAGATTCATCGATAGAACTTGAATCGGAAATACGCGAACCGAAAGTTAAACGTTAGATGTTTCACTACGTTCATTATTCACTGTCACTGAATAACTGTCATGTGGTCATAAAATGACTGCATACAGTATGTCATTCAATTTTGAACAACTGTTAATTTTCCGATGGAAAATAAGGAATTATGCATTCATGTTTTGTTTAGTGTAGCAAATGCTTTTCAAGTTATTTGTAAAAATTTTTTTAATTAAAACTGATTTTCATTTTCAAGTTCTTGCCCTTGTTAGAAAAAAAAAACTGTTATTAGAACCGTACATATATTTTAAAAAATAGATAAAAATTGCAAGCAAAATAGTATATAATACATTTTACTCCATAAAATCAATATAAACATTTAGAATTACAATTTTTTCGATATCCATTTAATTTTCAAAAAACCTGACATTCTCTTCTAAAAGCTCATATAATAATTAACGAATGATGCAGATGATAGTGAAAGGAGACCTAATCTAATCGTTAACAGCAAGGCCCGCTTTCGCTCAATAATAGAGCAGTTCAACGCAACGCCATGATTCGTATAACGCGAATAAATATTTCATACAATCGTAAGACTATTCCCGACAATTACTGTTGCCTTTAAGAAAAAATTTTCGAAAAACGAGTTTTTTTTTTCACGTGAACACAATTTCTTTCAATCAAACACTTACTTATACCTGGCCCGTCATTGCTCACTCTCCTGTCTAACTGCATGCCAATGTGCATTCTTCTTTCTCGTTCAAAATAATAACTTTGAATCAGCGGCATGTGAATGTGAAAGATCTTATAGAAGAAGATCGGAGAGAAGTCTTTTAACGATCCTGAAGGGTCAACAATCCATTTAAAAAAAAAAAAAAAAAAAAAAAAAGGAAAGAAGAGCGTATGTTGCCACGGTAGTTCCTTACGTGTCGTGGACGAATTTTCCTTTAGGAGTCACGACATCCGTGCGGCTCAAATTGTTCGCAAATCGTTCTCTCGCGAGGCGCGCTTGGCGTGGAAAACCGGTTTCCGGTAAAAGTCCGCGCGTCCGATTCGCGTATCGATCACGTGCGGGCACGACAGCGACGTCGGCGGCGACGTGATCGCCGATCGATTTCCCCAACGCGGCCACATTTGAGACGCGTGTCCGCCGAGATCAATCGCCCCCGTCCGGTCCGGACGCGATTGCCACATCCAGTTCGTGTCCCTTTCCTATAGGAAGTACACTTCCACCGATGACGATCGACGAGCGTAACAAAAGTTCTCTCGATCGCGCGATCCCGGTAATCGAAATGGGTCGATTCGAGAACACGTGTTCCGCGAATTCCGCGGGAATCTTAACACGAGTCACGCGAGAAACAACACTCCGCGATCCACACCGGTCGGCGGTCCGCGCGTGACTGATCAGCGAAAAGGCGAAAAGGCGCCGCGCCGGGCGGCGAGCGACTTAACTTTTACCCCCACTAATGTAAGCGGGAGAGGTGGGAAAAGATTCAAAGCGTCGCGGTCGCGGTTAAACTTGGCGTCTATTTTTTACAAAATCTTCTATAATCGAGCAAACTTTGTGTACCTTCTAAGAAGCGACGCAGGGATCATGTCATCTTTGTTTAACAACAAGTATGTAATGATCCATTGCGTCACACCGTGTCACTTATCGATATCTAGTTGTTACACACATTCTTCGATAAGCCATTAGTAATAAATCAGAAGTCAGAAGCTAGAAATTGATCAATCGATTATTCTTCTTGTTGGACTGTAATTGATCAATTTTTGAAAAATTCTGACTTCCGATTTATCACTAATGGTTATTGTAGGATGACCATAAGATTTTTGGCTCACGATAACGAATAGTCCGACATAATCTTGTGTTTGTCGTAGGCAGATTCGGACATTTGCTTTTGAACCTTCAGCATGTCACTAAAAAAAATGATATTATCAATAGCATTATTCTTATTGAAAATAATTTTGTTAATTTAGTAAAACTGTTAAGGGAATCCTAAAATGTCTGTATGATCGATTAAATCATTATAATTTTTGTACAATTTTTTTTTCCTCTTTTACCGATTCAGAAATCTTTTCAGGATTAAAAAAGCACTAATATGTGTGAGATTGAATCTATACTGAGAACGACAAAAAATTTCGAAATTGAGATCTTTACCATTTCTTAATCCAACATAGAACTCCAGAGCTGTCACGTTGTAACAACATTTACTTTATATAAAAGCTGTGCGATCTGTACTCACGAAATATAATAGTCCACAGATAATAACTAATAGTTTGCATGAAGAAACAATACGGAATTCTTAAAATTGGACTTAAACGTAATAAAATACGTCATGCTTTTATTTTAATCAAAATTTTATTTATTTCGTTAATAGTGTTATTAGATATATATATATATATAAATTAATAAAATTATTTTCAATTAAAATAATGCTGTTGATAGGTAAAGTCACCTATTATGAGTCGTAGTAAAATTAAAGAAAAAGATGTTAAAACAAAAGAGATGTTTAATTTGAAAATTCACAATAATAAAGTTTATAAAAGAAAATTTGTTAGTTGTGAATTATTGATTTTTATAAGCTATAAAAATAATAGGCTCTCGGTTTAGTAAATAGCTGTCAACTTCTAAAAAAGAAAATAAATCAAACTGACACCATACTATGAGAAAATACTTTATATTTTGTCAGCATTATGGAAAGAAAGAAATTTTTCAAGAAACTAATAGACTATGAAAATAATATTAGGAAAGAAATTATCGGCATTATGGAAACAACATAAATTTTGAAGTAGAACGGATCATGAAAATAATGCTATTGAAAGAAAATAAACTTTAAAAGTGAAAACTAAACTATGATTTACAAGAGAAACACCCAACAATGGTATTTATTTTGTTGGGTATTTACCCTTGGATTAAGATAGCAGATAAATACAAGTCAAAAGAGAAGTCCGTATTTAATAATTTTTGTACGTTTTTAAAAAAATCGATTTTTTTACCTTCGATACTCAATGTTTTAGATCAATTCTTAAGTTTCGATTATATCAATGAATCGATTCTTAAGACTCGAAATCGATCTTCTGTGTATAGCTAGTTACACATTTTTTTGAATGAATTTCAGAGTGCAGCTTTTTTTTGCTCACCGACATTGGTTCTTACTTATGGATCCAACCATTTACATTCACTCTACGAGCAAAACTGAGTTGCAAAACACATCGAAAAAAAATGTTGCAACTTTTCTCAATCTTTGCCGAATTAATTCTTTGACATTCAATCTTTTGGTGAATCGACTTATAATTGCGATTCAGATTAATTAAAAAAATCGATTCTTTCACCAAGCAACCCTATTTTAATGTAACAAATAAGTAGAAAGAAATTTAAATATTTATTAAATTTGAATAATATAAACGAGATGCCTAAAACCGGAGATACATCGTGAGTATAAAGTCAGAAATAATCGTTCATAATCTTCAATCGTCTATTATATATTCATAGAAAAATATATATATTTCCGATATTAAAACTGAAATATTAAACGCATGAATATCTTAGTTCAATTTACAAGTTACTTAAAAATTTACGTTATAATCTGAGGGTCCTCTGTGAGTTGTTAAATAGAATGCCAGTCATATTTAAAACAAACTCTTATTTCAAAAAGTTCTAAAGTAACGAAGAACAGGACAAGTAAACGATTTATAACTTGTAGAGTCACAAATAAATATAGAATAAATGATAATTCTTTCAGGAGCTGCGCACAATGAAAGGAATAGGGAACAAGGAATAAGAATATTCAATCTGGAGAATCAGAAATCATGCATTGTGGAATATACAGTTTCTGGTAGATTGAGATTCTTGTTCCCTGTTCCTTATTCCTTTCACTGTTGATGGTATGCAGCTTTTTATAATACATGGCACATCAAAGAAAAAATACATAAATGCTATTGTATTGAAGAATGAATACGTTACACTTCCTTTAGATATTAAAACACATCAAATACAACGATCAAATACATGCAAGGAGGAAGGTACCCTTAAGATCGCAAAATCTACCCTTAGAAAATTTGAAAACTCGACTACGATTTGTTCTTATGCTTAAGGCTTATTACTCTATTGTATTTACGAGATAAAACGAACGCCGCAGTGTTGTGATTTCTGAAAATAATCGGGCCTAAAGTCCGACTTTACAATATATGGTTATCTAAAGAATAAAGATAACTAAGAAATTTATAAATGAATTTCACTGATGAATCTGTCAGTAGCTTTTAATGTTTAGGTAACCTAACCTATAATAATATATATAATATATATATAATATAATATATTGTAAAAATAATCCTAAGTTTTATTTCTGAGTTTCACTTGATTTTATATATTACAATAGCCTTTTTTTACTTGTATGGACACGCTTTTTTGTACAATTTATTATGTTTTCGATGAGTTTTTATTCCTTACTAGATTTCGATTATGTTAATTTCCGTTTTGTATTTTTATTTTTTCGTAAGAAGTCTTCTTATCTTTTTATCAATTAGAACTTTTTCAAGAGACATGATACACTTGCATCTGTGTAATCGTACGTGAATATTGTCGAGTTCTACATCAAGACTTACCCGAATTGTGCTCACGATGTATTGTATTTGCGAATTTTTATTGCGGTTACTCTTTTTTTCCGATATACTAGGTCCGCAACTAAGTTTCCAGGTGTCACACATGGATGGTGCTAACGACACATGTAGTCGACATACATGTCTGAAGTTGTGTTTTTTTTATAGCTTGGAAATCTGTTAACAATAACCAGTCGTAATACCAACACATATCGCAACGCAAAAATATTTTTTCTAACAACGAAGATGTCGAGTTTTGTGCCAAATAAACTGCATTTGCGGGAAGCTTTGATTTTCTGCTTTAACTTGAAAAAAAAATGCAGCTGAAGCACGTCGTTTGCTTGAGAAGGCCTACAGCGAACATGCACCATTGAAAACTACCTGTTGTAAGATTAGTTTAAACCCTTCAAAAGTGACGATTTCGACACTGTTGAAGGTCGACACTGTCCTGTTCGACAAGGAGCGCTCCGGAAGACCAAAAACAATTAAGGACGCCGATCTGCAAACGCTTCAAAAGTGGCGATTTCGACACTGTCGAAAGTCGACACTGTCGAAAGTCGACACTGTCGAAAGTCGACACTGTCGAAGGTCGACACTATCCTGTTTCGACAAGGAGCGCTCCGGAAGACCAAAAACAATTGAGGACGCCGATCTACAAACGTTATTGGATGAAGATGATACGCAAACCCAAGGTCAACTTGCGGAGGCATTAAACATGATTCGCCAAGGTATTTCCAAACGTTTACATGCCATGGGAAAAATACAAAAGGAAGGAAAATAGGTGCCGCATGAGTTGACTGAAAGACAGATGGAAAATCGAAGAGCCACTTCCGAAATTTTGCTTTTGCGGCATGAAAGAAAGAGTTTTCTGCATCGAATTGTTACTGGCGATGAGAAATGGATATATTTCGAGAATTCCAAACGCAAAAAATCGTGGCTTTCATCTGGCGAAGCATCAACATCGACGGCACGGCCAAATCGCTTCGGAAAGAAGACAATGCTCTGCGTTTGGTGGGACCAGAAAGGAATCGTGTACTATGAGCTGCTGAAAACGGGCGAAACTGTCAATGGGCATCGCTACCGACAACAACTGATCAATTTGAACGATGCATTGCTCGAAAAACGGCCAGAATGGGACACGAGACACGAACGAGTGATATTGCAGCACGATAATGTTCCGTGCACTTCCATCGTCCAAGACATCATTAAAACGCTGAAATTGGATCTGCTACCGCACCCGCTGTATTCGCCAGACCTGGCCCCTTCCGATTATCACTTGTTCTGGTCGATGGTGCATGGCTTGGCTGAGCTACACTTAGCCAATTTCGAAGAAGTGCAAAATTGATTGGATGAATGGTTTCGGTCCAAAGACGCGCCGTTTTATCGTCGCGGTATTCATGTATTTCCAGAGAGATGGCAAAAATGTGTAGCTAGCGAGGGACGATACTTTGAATAAACCATTTTTTGTATTTCTCTTGAAATTTTCCATTTTTCATTGATCAAAAAAACCCGGAAACTTAGTTGCGGACCTAGTATTTGTCTGAAGAGGGCTCAATCTTGCAGCCGAAACTTGTAACGAAATTTTTGCTTAGTTCTTTACCTTTTATTATTTTTTATGTATCTTTTATTTTTATTTTTATTATATACTTTCTTCGATTTCGTTCTCCTTTATTTGTATTTCCTTTTAATTAGATGACTATTTTTTAAAAACGAAATGTGCTGACTCTTACTTTGCCCTTTATTTATTGTTATTTATAATCCTAAG